AGGCCACAACAGTGAGAGGCCTGCGTACCGCAAAAAAAAAAAAAAAAAAAAAAAAAAAGTGGAAAAAAGCCAAATGTGATTGGATAAACCAAATGGGGTATATCCATGGACGACGGGATACTTGAAATAAAAAGGAACGGACTACTATAATATATGCCACAACACTGATAAACCTCAAAACATTATCTTTTTGTAAAAGAAGTCAGATGCAACAGACCGCATGTGGCCTTTTCATCTCCATGAAATGTCTAGAAAAGGCAGATCTATAGAGACAGAAAGTAGTTTAGTCACGTGGGGGTGGGAACAGGGATTTACTGCAAGTGGGCATGAGGGGTCCTTAGGAAATGTTCTAAGATTGAATTGTGGTGATGGTTGTATAACTCTGTAAATTTACTAAAAATCACTGAGACACTTAAAATGGGTTCTGGATAGTATGTAAATTTTTAAAAATTAAAAGCATCTACCTCATAGGTACCACCTCACACTGGTCAGAATGGCCATCATTAAAAAGTCTACAAATAACAAAAGCTGCAGTGAGTGAGGAGAAAAGGGAACCCTCCTACACTGTTGGTGGGAATGTAAATTGGTGCAGTCACTATGGAAAACAGTATGGAGGCTCCTTAAAAAACTAAAAATAGAGTTGCCATATGATCCAGCAATCCCACTCCTGGGCATATATCCAGAGAAAACTATAATTTGCAAAGATACACGGACCCCAATGTTCACAGCAGCACTGTTTACAATAGCCAGGACATGCAAGCAGCTTAAATGTCCATTGACAGATGAATGGATAAAGAAGATGTGGTATATATACACAATGGAATACTACTCAGCCATAAAAAGAATGAAATAATGCCATTTGCAGCAGCATGGATGGACCTAGAAATCATCATACTAAGTGAAGTAAGTCAGAAAGAGAAAGACAAATACCATATGATATCACTTACATGTGGAATCTAAAATATGACACAAATGAACTTATTTACGAAACAGAAACATACATAGACATAGAAAACAGACTTATGGTAAAAAAGAACGAAGTTGGGTCATTACATAGAGACGTGGATGGACCTAGAGACTGTCATACACAGTGAAGTAAGTCAGAAAGAGAAAAACAAATATCGTATATTAACGCATATATGTGGAATCCAGAAAAACGGTACAGATGAACCGGTTTGCAGGGCAGAAATAGAGACACAGATGCAGAGAACAAACGTATAGACACCAAGCGGGGAAAGCGGGGCGGGGGTGGTGGTGGGGGATGAATTAGGAGATTGAGATTGACATATATACACTAATATGTATAAAATAGATAAACAATAAGAAGCTTCTGTATAAAAAATTAAATTAAATTAAATTAAAAACAGACTTATGGTTACCAAAGGGGAAAGGAGGTAGGGGAGGGATAAATTAGGAGTATGGTATTAGCAGATACAAACCACTATATATAAAATAGATAAGCAACAAGGTCCTACCGTATAACACAGGGAAGTATATTCAATATCCTGTAATAAACCATAACGAAAAAGACTATGAAAAAGAATATGTATATATATGTATAACTGAATCACTTTGCTGTACACCAGAAACTAACACAACATTGTAAATCAGCTTTATTTCAATGAAAAAAAAAGTACCTCAGGATTATTATGGGGATTAAATAACATAAAGTTCTTAGAACAGAGACCGGAATGCTGTCAGTACTATAGAAATGATTATTGGGCTGGACGTCTAGGTCCAGTTCCCTGCTGTGCCTTCTTCTGGGGAAAGTGGGCTGGTCCCCTGTTCCCAAATCCTTGAACACAGGCCTTTGGGTGAGACTCAGATGGGCCACAGAAAGGGAAGCCTAGCTTCCAGGTCTTGAGGGGCCTTTCCTATCCCTTATCCCGGAGGAGTCAGGTGGGACCCGGCATCCAGCCTCGTCCCTATTTTTCTCCTCTGGGGAGGAGGAGAGGTTTCTGCGAAGGGTGCTGCCTCCTCATCCCACAGGCTGAGGATGGGGTCGAGTGTCCTCGAGTGTCCTCTACTGTAGGCAACAGGAATTGCAACAGCTGGGTCATCCCGCTCACATCGTCTCCACCCTCCTGATAACGTTGTGAGGAAGCCACTGTTTTGCCTTTTCAGTGATAGGGATGCTGAGACTCAAGAGTGTGCAAGTGATCTGCCCAGGGTCTCACAGCAGACACCCCTGGTCCAAGTCCTCTGACAGTGGAGGTTCAATGACTCTAGGCCCTTTCAGCTGGAGAGTTACTCACACTAACCCCTACTGTTTGTATAGTGCTTCTGTGCCCACAAAGAGTTTTCACACCTGGGCTGTGTTCTGGGGTGCCTGATTCAGGAAGGGGAAAAAAGGGAAAGTGGAGGTGGAGAGAATTCCTCCTCCAGGGAAGGACTCTCAGTAGTAATAGACCCAATAAAGCCCCTAAACTCAGATTTGTGGGACTGGTGGCTTTTGGGGTGGGAGAAAGAGGAGCCCCTTTCTGCATTGATATATACAATTCATTCATTTATTCATGCCAAAAATTTTTTTGCGTGTTCTCTCCTTGTGTCAACACTGTGCTAGGTACGAGGATACAAATATGAGGATACAAAAATTTGTACGAGGATGCAAATACAAATATGAGAGGATGAAAAGAGTTTTCCAGTCTAGCTTCCCGTATGTGGGGCCCAAGCCCACTCCCCAGGTATCTTAGTTGCGAAGAGTCTGGAGTAGGGTCGGACTGAAAAACATGCCCCCTGCCCCATAACCAAAAGAAATCTGGTACTACTGTCTCAGGGTAAAAGTTTTCAGCACTGTCCACCAGGAGAGACAGCTGTGAAGATCATCATCCTTCCAGAACTTTCCTCCCATCTGTGTGTGTGTGAGTGGTGGGGAAGCAGGGCTCTTGGGACTCAGGAACCCTGGAGTCTAGACCTGGCAGGACCCCAGGACCCCCCTTCATGACAACTTCCCTGAAGACTTCTGCAGAAGATGCTAGGGGGTGAGTGTTTTGAGCAATAGAACGCAACACCCCCTTGTTCCTCAAACCCTAGCCCCACCTTGGGGTCTTTACCTCTGGCCTCTGCAAAAGGGATGTAGGGACGACAGAGCTTCCTGATCCCTTTCCTCCCAAATGTTATGTGATGACGTGTAGGG